AAGGAATCTGTTCCAGACTGCATTTGTCTTTTGCCGAAGCTCAGACTCTGGCACAGGATCGGGAACGTTTAAAGCACTGTCTGACGCGTCTGCCTCCGCGACCCGAAAGGAGAAGCGGCGATGGAAGATGAAGAAGATGAAGATTTTCAAAAATTCAATAAATAAATAATTGAATTATGATGATAGTAACATAAGTAAATAAAGTTGGACAGCGCTGTGAACGCATATCTTGGTATGGCTGATTCCTGGTCATAACATACAAACATACTGGACTTCTTTAGTATTGTAAATATTTACTAGATTACGCGATTATCAATGCTCTGAATTTACGCGACATATTGCACCATCTCGTTGCTTCTATCGGTTTAGGGAACCGTTTCAGCAGGTCACAGTTCCGTGGTATTTAAGTGCATTGATGCCAAACTGTATCCGTATGTAACTGCGAACTGAAACCTGTTAGAACGCCTTCTGAAATATTACTACACATAGGCTTATATGCAAAACAATGAATAACCTTAGTATTACGGGTTTACTAGCAAACTGCGAGTTTTCCATACCGCCGGCAAGAATATCAACCTCATTTCAGATGTCACGAATTAGCATGGAGCCATGCTCTGTTTAACTGGTCCACCTGAATGCAAGAGGCAAGGGGTGTGTGGTGTACAGCTACGCGTCGTAAATTCGGGAAATTGCAGAGTTAACGAGTTATACCGGTGATATCGAACACCAGTAATTGACTAGATGGATGTGTTTCCGAGGTTCTTCAAACCATGCACATTCTTTTCGGTTATGCTTCTGACGCGGTTTTTCTCTATCGTTTAGCTTGATTGTTTCTATCGCATATTCGGTTTCGATCTTTTGTTTCATTGTCTCATTTGTCCAGGATGATATGTTCACCGATTTGTTGAGGTGGTTTATCTCTAACCTCTTGTGCAGCGGTGTCTCTGTCAGGTGCTACTCTGATCTCACCCAGCTCCAATTCTGTTGGCAGCATGCTGTTATCAATGAGCCGATTGTGGTTCTTTAGGTGTTGCTCGCTTGCCATAGTGAGGGGGTAAACTTCTCTCCAGTCTTCCAACATTCTTTTTCGGTAGCCCCTTCCCTGCTTTACAGCGATGCAGCAGCGCCTCATTGCAACACTGGTTTCTTACTACGACCGCTACGCGTGCACCGGTGACCATTCTGACACGTCTCCAGACGCAGAAGGACGTGAAACAAACTCCGTTCACAGACTGTCTCTAGTCCCCAATACCTGCGCAGGGCCTTTGGTAACCTTGGTGTAGATCGACGTAGCATAGAAACATTTTCATTGTGATAACCACATGGAGTCGATGGTTGATCGAGCTTTGTCTGGCCTTTCAGCTCAAACGTATCCAGCATGGGTGGCCATACAAGACGGTTAGCCGTCCTCTGGCAGCTTCGAGGATCATTATTGCATATGTACGATTATATGTAGGAAACGATGTAATAGTATAGGCGGTTGCTCACTTTTTGCTCACTCACTTCAGGCATTGAACAAGTTCAGAGTTTAGTGGATGCTTGGTGCCCGAAGAGTACCACGGTTTGCTTAAAACCAGTTGTCGAGTTGTCAATCTTTTTTGGGTCAGATGTTAGATATTTGGAGCGAGGGGAATGTTTTACTTTATGCAAATCGTTTAGGTGACGTATAGGATTTTTTTCCACCAAAGTAAGTATGTTCCTTCAAGTCATATCTGGATTTATCAAGCTACTGTAACAGAAACTCTCATCTGAGTAAAATTCCCTCAGTCTGAAATGGGTTGAATCCAAAGTTAGTTGGGATATAATCCTGTTCTTTGATGCAGACAAGTCTGCTTCTTCGAGATGTTTCCGTACTCTACCTTATTGTTTGTCGTCGTCATCTCAGGTGCGATGTGCTTAATAACGTTGGTTGGCCTGCAGTAAGTGATTCTTTCAAATACTCTAAGTATTAGGTACTTCACTGCCGCAGAATATTCTATGCATTTCTTACCAAGTCTGAAGTACTTCAGTGGTTTCCCACCAGTCGCCTTGCAGACGTGAGATTCAGCTCTTACGGACCAAGAATAGAAGAAAAATTAAATTCGAAAACTCTCGTCATCCGTTAGAGAACGAACCATTCAGTGTAAACTCTTATAAAAAACGACAAAAAATTTTTCCGTCGCAGTCTCTGTCATCGAACAAGATATGAGTTTATTCGTTGACGCTTTATTGTTTTGTCTGTTCTATTGACGTCTCCAAAGGCATCGCTTCCAGTGTTCGCCCTGATTCATTTCTGAGCCCTGGTGAATTAATGGGCGAGTTCGTCCGTCGAAAGACGAAGCTCGGTCTCAAACTGTTGTTCACCGTCGCCTGTTTACGTCGCGATGGCGAATGCTGCTGCATCGTTTGCATTCTTCTTCATGGTTTAATGTTGTTGTGAAGACGGGTTGGTTTCGATAACGATGGCAATCATAGCCGTTTAACTCCTTTTCCGCCCGCGTGATGGCGCTGCTGAGGATCATGTTCCGTTGTATGCCTGTTTTCATTTCGGCCTGGCGGATTTGACCCTAATTCGTACACGTCTCTCGTGGTCACCACGTCGGTCAAAGTAACAGCGATCGTTTCGCATTGTCCACGTCGTCCACGCGTTCGTCATTTTATCCGGTTGTAGGTCAAGGTGTTGACTACGACCAGACGACGCGAGGTAACAACGACTGCGAGGTAACCACGTCGTTTTGTTTGTTTGTGCACATGCTTGTCACCTGAGTTTGGAATGCGACGGCGACTAGAGGTCGAATCGCACCCGATTCTATTCTTCTGTTCGGGTCTACCACCCATCCCTCCTTTTTGCGGTGTGACATGATTCCTTATTGACATTTCATGACGCGTTTCTTGAATGGCCGCATGAATACCTCACAAGTTGGGAGTGGTACTCATTTTCGGTCTTCCTGGTTCATACTCGATTGCTGCGTATCGAAATTTAACTAAGTTTCGTATTATCGAGCTTTCTGGCCATAACTGATTCGTTTAATACTATGTATAATGTCTGCGAGTTTCTTATGGCTAGGAACATCCGTAATATTTGTAATTAAACTTATATGCCGGTCATCTGAGAATCACATGAACGCGACCATCTCGTAGATAATTAATTCGTTTATAATTTATTATCGACCATAATGGTTACCGTGTATACCTTATAATAAGTAAAATCTTTATATGGTCGGTTAATTTTATTTGTTTAAAAAATGGTCTCATATTTGACATGATGATTTTTTATATTTATGCTGTAGCATGTAACGAGTGTCAACTACCGAGATGTCGTTTATGAAGATTATGATTTTGTTGTAACGAAAAAATGATGCTATATGATATATACTAAGCATTGCAGATGCTCAAATATCATAGAGCGGTGGCCTGCTCCAATGCTTCCCCTCCCCCACCCCAGGCCACCGTGAGAAAAAGGTGGTGCAATACACTTTGAAACCGGTTGTTGCATAAGTTTCGCGTCTATTAATTTGCTGTGGTATAAATTTTTTAAGGTTGTCCTTTGCTCATCTTTCTGTTTAGTGTTGTTTGTAAATCTTCGTTGCTTTCTGAAGGTACTACGCGCAAGCCGAAGCCGGGCGAAATCGACGGCGTTGACTATCGCTTCATTTCCAAGGAGGAATTCACGGCACTTGAACGCAACGGTGAACTGCTGGAACGCGGCGAGTTGGAAGGTGAGCAGCGAACACATCATCGTTTGTTTTTGCTTCGTTTGTGATGCTTCGTTTGTTTATTCCCCATCCGTACGCAGCTCATCGAAGCATGCATGTTTGCCTCGGTCGAACGGTTCAGAATTTTCTGACGACGAACTAGTGGCTTTGTCTTTGTCTGTACGGTACCCTTTCTTTCTGCCCATGTTGCTGTACGAAGGACACCCCGAGCATGGGCACTAAAAAGTTGAATGTCGGGTTCGTTGGGAGCTCTGTATAACGGATCAGGTGCATTTCCTTTATATCAAATACTGTATTGAAAAATAGATTTGGCGCCCTTCTTTTCATGAAGTTTACGATGCTGTGCTGAACTTCGTTTTTCAGCCATCAGCCAGGAATGCGTTTTTTGAAAGGCAGAGTCTACAGCATTGTGGCAAGCGTGGCGTATAGTCTTCTGTTTCCTTTCCACAGAGTGTGGTACTCATTTATTAGCCTGAGGAGGAAGAACCGTGGAGTGACTCTGATCGATGTTTGAAGTTTGGATCTGTCGATCCCTCCTCTTCGTCTTTCATAGGCTGATAGATGAGTACGATTCTGTGGCAAGGTAGTAGGAAACCACCCACTATGCTTCCTACGTACCTGCTGTCGATCCTGCCTTTAAAATAACGCACTCTTGACTGTTGGCATAGAAATCGAGGTCAGCACTCTACAATTAATTTCATGAAAGGCAGGGTGCATTATAAAGGCGTATAAATAGCCCATTATGAAGGCGTAAGGAAGAGTGTCATTTGAACTGTTGCAGACTTTCTATTTCTTTTTCTTTTTTCTGTTCCTTGTTCTGTACATCAAGATTCGATGGGACGATTCTGATTTGAACTATGGAAATTCACACCTTAATACGTCACGTTGATCAGTCACATGTCTTTGTCGGTCGTGAACGAATGAGTTTTAAAGAATTTTACTATTTGACGGGATTCGTCTACCCTTGAGAGATCCGCTTGGAAAGAAACTGTCTTCCTTTGGGCGGAACGCCCATTGAAAACAAATTCGTCTCATCGATTCGTCGTACTGCTAGTGACTGAATTAGTCGTCTTCTTACAGTCGACTTGAAAGTTTGGGTATTGGAATTAGTCGCTTCTGCTATCTCATCAAATATGGACGGCGTTTTTTGGTATTAACGAAAAAAAATCGTTTGATTTTGCCCCAATCAAATCGAATAGCAACTGATTTTGCCGAGTGCCGGTGACTGAATCGAAAGTGTTTCTTTCGTCGCCGTACCGATTACTGATTTGTCAGTCGAATTTGTCATCGGCCACCCAGGCCTACTGACGGCTCTCCTTGTTCCCTCTACATCACTAGTCATAAATTTGACGCATGAATGTAAACGTGATTTCATGCCTCGACTTACGCCAGCATCATTTCGTCCATCGCTGTCTATGATTCATTATCGAATATAAGCCGTTGTGGAACAGTGGCTTTAACGTCGGCTTTGAAATACTTAGGTGCCGGGTTCAATTCCAGCGAAGGGATGGTCTTTGTCTTACAACACATTGTTCGGGTTCAACTTGCCGAGAGAAACGGCTGGGAAATCACGGACTTGCTGATAGTATGCACCAGTATTATATTTTAATTCAACCACTGATACTGGATTTACACGGCGAAAGTGTACAGTGTAAAGAAAAAAATTTTTTCTTGGCCTTACACCGATATAGCGGTAGTGTCAGAGCTAGGTCTTCATACCGGGTTGCACCTTCATTGCTTGTAGTCGCTTATCAGAACCATTTAAGCAGGCCACGGTACTTAAGCGCCCGCAGTGCTTGGGACTCATGATCCTGTCACTGAGTTCGGTTGAACGAGGTCTTATTCAAACCCAAAATACGCTGGGTAGGCAAATACATGAAAAATGAAATAAAATATGACAGCGACGTTCTGCGGTAGCTTCCACGAGTGGAAACTTTCGATACCGCCTGCTAGCTATCACATTTAAGATGCTGATGCCGGATTTACACTGCGATAACGTGCCGCGTAAATACTTAAAAAACTATTTCTTATTTTACACCGGGTTTTACCGTAATGTGAGCAGCCGCAGAACATCGAGTTGTGGCGTATTTCATTTAACACGTATTTGCTTGCGGGTTGTGGCAATGTTGTAGAAAACTCAAACATATGACAAAGATGAAGAGACTTTAACTAATAGCCAAACGAGTTCAACTGAGGTAATATCATCACCACTGAAGTTGTTCGTCCGTCGGAGTATGCCAGATAAGAATGACTCGGCCATGGCCAGATTTCGCGACG